GTGCCCAGCTAAGTATTTTTTTTAGTAGAGACGGGGTTTCACCATGTTGACCAGGATGGTCTCGAGCTCTTGACCTTGTGATCCCCCCGCCTCGGCCTCCCAAAGTGCTGGGATTACAGGCATGAGCCACTGCGCCCGGCTCTAACAGTTTTTTGTAAAGTCTTTGGTTTTCCATTCTTCAGATTTTGTACAGGGATAATTTAACTTTTTTTTTTCCAGTCTGGTTGCTTTTGGTTTTACTCTCTAATTTCTTTGTCTTGGACATGTAATACCATGTTTAGTAAGACTGATTCGAGTGAGCATCCTTGTCTTGTTCTAGCTCTTAGAGTAAAAGCTTGCAACATATCCCTGTTTAGTATGTGGTCCGCTGTGCATTTTTTGTTTATATGCGGCATTTATTGGCTGAGGTGCATTTGTTCCATACCTAACTTTTTCAGAGATTGATCACAAAGGAATGTCAACTTTTGTCAAACTTATTCTGCATCTATTTCTTTCTTTTTGTACTCTGCATCTATTTAAATGTTAGAGATGTGAAGTCACAATAAATCATTACATAAATACAAAAAATCCTCAGAGACTGCTATGGATATCTTTACGCCTGCAAACTAGAAAATTCAAAGAAAATCAATAAAATCCTGGATACACAAACTTCCAAGATACAGCCATGAAGAAGCAGAAGTCATGAACAAAGCAAAGATGTATAAAATATATAATGAAGGCTGGGGATGGTGGCTTACGCCTGTATCCCAGCACTTTGGGAGGCTGAGATGGGCAGATCACCAGAGGTCGGGAGTTCAAGACCAGCCTGACCAACATAGAGAAGCACTGTCTCTACTAAAAATGCAAAATTAGCCGGGTGTAGTGATGCATGCCTGTAATCTCAGCTACTCAAGAGGCTGAGGCAGGAGAATGGCTTTAACCCAGGAGGCGGGGGTTGCGGTGAGCCAAGGTTGTGCCATTGCACTCCAGCCTGGGTAACAAGAGCGAAACTCCGTCTCAAAAAAAAAAAAAAATCATAGGGGGTTGAAACTGACCTCTGGCAGGCTGAATCGCTTTTTGGTGGAGCCACAGGAGCAGGGATGTCTGTCCAGGTGTCGCCATGGGTGTCAGACAAGCAAAAAACTTGGAACGACTTCTCCAATGATCAGTCGACAATGGCGGTGTTATTTGCAAGAGTAATTGGGTAAGTTGCGTATCTTACAGCTTCCGGAATAATGACTGCTCTTCTCCCATCAAAAGCGGTTGAGGCCGGGTGCCGTGGGTCACACCTGTAATCCTAGCACTTTGGGAGGCCGAGGCGGCTGGATCACCTGCAGTCAGGAGTTTGAGACCAGCCTGGCTAGTATGGTGAAACCCGTCTCTGCTAAAAGTGTAAAAATTAGCTGGGCGTGGTGGTGTACGCCTGTAGCCTCAGTTACTCGGGAGACTAAGACAGATTAATTGCTTAAACCCAGGAGGTGGAGGTTGCAGTGAGCCGAGATCACGCCACTGCACTCCAGCCTGGGTGACGGAGTGAGACTCCATCTCAAAAAAAAGAAAACGGCAGTTAAGGCCAGGCACAGTGACACACATGTCACCCTAACACTTTGGAAGGCCGAGGTGGACGGATCACTTGAGGCCAGGAGTTGGAGACTAGCCTGGCCAACATAGTGAAACCCCATCTGTACTAAAAATACAAAAAAATTAGCCACTCATTCTGAATGCAGAATGAGACTCTGTCTCAAAAAAAAAAACAAAACAAGCGATTGTGTCTTTGGCAAGGCCTGTTATCATTTAAACCATAGCCTGAATGTCTTCCAAAGTTGGCTTGGCCCAATAGCACAGGAATAATTACAGGAAAAGTTAGGTGGGGGTTGGGTTAGCTCAGCTTACTGTTCTAATTTTCTCACTGATAGAACTTTTGCAGTGGTGGTTTCAACAGATGGGTGCAGGAAGATTTTTTTTTTTTTTTTTTTTGAGACAGTTCCAGTCTTGTTTCCCACTCGGGAGTACAGTGGCGTGATCTCAACCTCTGCCTCCCAGGTTCAAAGGATACTCCTGCCTCAGCCTCCACTGGAATTACAGGCTCATGCCACCACGCCAAGCTAATTGTTGTACTTTTAGTACAGATAGGGTTTCGCTGTGCCACCCAGGCTGGTCTCAAACTCCTGGACCCAAGTGATCCACCAGCCTCTGCCTCCCAAAGTGCTGGCATTACAAGCGTGAACCACCCCACTGATCAGAGGAAACATCTTAATACTTTGTTTGTTTTGAGACAGAGTCTCACTCTCTTGCCCAGGCTGGAGTGCAGTGGCATTATCTCAGTTCACTGCAGCCTCCACCTCCCGGTTCAAGCAATTCTCCTGCCTCAGCCTCCCAAGTAGCTGGGATTACAGGCATGTGCCACCACATTTGGCTCATTTTTGTATTTTTAGTAGAGATGGGGTTTCACCATATTGGCCAGACTGGTCTCCAACTCCTGATCTCAGGTGATCCTCCCTCCTCAGCCTCCCAAAGTGCTGGGATTACAGGCATGAGCCACCACACCTGGCCAAATTCTGAATTCTTCTTTAGGGGAAGTGAGAGCTTGGGACATAGGCATCCCCTTGGACCCAGTAACCCCACTTCTGGGAGTTTAGTCTAAAGAAAGGCTGCAGTCAAGTCCAAAACTTACGAAATGACAAGAGCGGACTCTGACGGGGACCTGTCACGTACACAGTGCTCAGCTAAGCCTTTCCGTATACTGCTTTTTCCTGTCAAAGAAAATAAAAATACGAGGACCTTCCAAAGGCATTATGCCAAGGAAAAGTTATGGTTGTTGTTTGTGTTGGCTTCTTTTTGTTGATGTTTGTTTTTGAGATGGACTCGCTCTCGCTGCAGTGCAGTGGCTCAATCTCGGCTCACTGCAACCTCTGCCTCCCGGGTTTAAGCGACTCTCTGCCTCATCCTCCCAAGTATCTAGGACTACAGGCACCATGCCCGGCTAATTTTTGTACTTTTAGTAGAGACGGGGTTTCACCATCTTGGCCAGGATGGTCTTCAACTCCTGACTTTGTGATCCACCCGCCTCATCCTCCCAAAGTGCTGGGATTACAGGTGTGAGTCACCGTACCCAGCCTAGTTTGTCTGTTTTTGAGACATGGTCTCATTCTGTTGCCCAGGCTGGTGTGCTGTCGAATGAACATGGCTCACTGCATTTTCCACCTCCTGGGCTCAAGGGATCCTCCCACCCAGCCTCCTGAGTAGTGATTGCCTGAGGTTGGGAGTTGGAGACCAGCCTGGCCAATATGGTGAAACCCCATCTCTACTAAAAATACAAAAATTAGCAAGATGCAGTGGCTCATGCCTGTAATCCCACCTCTTAGGGAGGCAGAGGTGGGAGGATAGCTTGACTCTAGGAGTTTGAGGCCTGCCTGGGCATTATAGGGAGACCCCATTCTCCATAAAAAGAAAAAAAAAAAAAAGACAAAAAATTAGCCAGGCATGATGGCGGGTGCCTGTCATCCCAGCTACTCAGGAGGCTGAGGCAGGAGAATCACTTGAACTCAGAGGCTTCAGTGAGCCAAGATCACGCCACTGCATTTCAGCCACCACAGACACAGCCACCACGCCCAGCTAATTTTTAAATGTTTTGTTGAGATGTGGGTGGGGGATGGGGGTGAGGAGAAATTCACTTTGTTGCTCAGGCTAGTCTTGAACTTCTGGGCTTAGGCGATCCTCCTGCCTCAGCCTCCCAAAGTGCTGTTGTTAAGTGTTGTACCTTAAGCCAGATGCCTACAAAAAGACAAAAAAAAGTCCTCACACATCTCCAGATGATCGCCCTCATGAATTGTTCATACGTAAATTATTTGCTTAGCCCCTAAAGCTTTACAAGATGTCCAGTCTGTCTAAACGAAGATGTGTTGGCAGGACATGTAACTTCAAGTTTGCAAGCTCTGTCTGACCCCTTGTCTGTGGAACCAGTCTGCTGAATTTCATACCGACAGCACAGATGACAAGTTTACTTTCCCCGGCGCAAAACAAAGGCAGGATGACAGCCATCAACCCTCCACCAGACCCTGAGAGAGCTGCAAAATTAATCTTTCCTTTCCCTCTCAAATGTTTGCCTTTCCTTATATATAGCCATAGTTTCAGTTTCCCTGGGCACCAATTAAAGTCAGAAGAACGTAACTAATGAGAAATCTCATTTCCTACTCTCTTTTTCTTGTTTTCTGGTTGATGGAGATACTGTTTCAGTCTGTAACTTGCATGAACATTCCAATAGACTGGGAAGCAGCTGTGACTACACCCCAGCTGTAAGAAACCAGAGTTTGGCCGGGCGCAGTGGCTCACACTTGTCATCCCAGCACTTTGGCAGGCCAAGGCAGGTGGTAATCAGGTCAGGAGTTTGAGACCAGCCTGGCCAACATCGTGAATCCCCGTCTCTACTTAAAATATAAAAATTAGCCAGGTATGGTGGCACACACCTGTGACCCCAGCTACTCGGGAGGCTGAGGCACAAGAATCACTTGAATCTGGGAGGCAGAGGTTGCAGTGAGCTAAGATTACACCACTGCACTCCAGCCTGGGCAGCAGAGTGAGACTCTATCTCAAAAAAAAAAAAAAAGAAGAAGAAAGAAAAGCAGAGGCCGGAGGGCAAGGAGCTGGTCCATCATGATGGAATTTGAGCCCAAGTCTGACTCCAAACGTTACAACTGTGTGAGTCAGAGACAGCGCCTCAGTTTGAGTTTTGATTGAGTTTTATTGCCTGCGACCAAGGCGGGTGGCTAACGCTTAAAACTGTATTGGCCCCGAGGAAGGGGCTTGATTTTTTTTTTTTTTTTTTTTTTTTTATAGCTTGCTTAGGGGAAGGGAGGGGGAGTTTAGCGGAAGCAGAATTTTATAGAAGCAGAGCAAGCAAGTTAGTAGGAGGAGGCTGGTAACCAGGAGGCAGGAGGTTTCCATAGCTGCTGGTTACTAAGAGTATTTTTATACAATTATTAAGGGGGGTAACAGGGGGGACTTTTTATATAATTACTTACCAAGGGGGGGTTCAAGGAGAGGTATTTACAGTAGCAGGCAGGCTTGCCAAGCAGGACATGGTTCCGTTGGTTACCCGTACTGAGAAGAGCATGACCCAAACCTCACCGTTCAAGGCTCTGAGTAGAGCGTGACCCAGTAATGCACCTGAGGGAGAAATGGCAGGGAGGGAAAGGCTACAATGGAGTTTACCGCTAAGACGGAGTCAGGCAGGCTAGCACAAACCTGCACTCAGGTCTCCCCAGGGCAGGGCTTGTCACCCTTGGCGGCGCCTCTGACACTTGGGGCTTGATCATTTACCGTGGGGGCCGATCTGTGCACCGATGTGTGTAGAGCAGCGTCCCTGGCCTACATCCCTGGATGCCAGGAGAACTCCCAGCACCCGTGGTGACAACAAAAATGTCCCGTGAGGCAGAATCACCCCTGCGCAGTGAGCGCTCTGGGGCCAGCGCCTTCCTACAGGAAAGGAGGCGTCGTTAGATGCACGCCGAGGGCCGCGTCTCAGTAGCCCAAAGTAAGTGAAATATACACGTAGTGTGATAACAAACAAATGAAACAGCTGAGGGTCGATTGTGGATTGAGGGTCGACTACTTAAATGTTTTTAAGTAGTTTCTTTTATGTATTTATTTATTATTATTATACTTTCAGTTCTAGGGTACATGTGCAGATCCTGCAGGATTGTTACGTAGGTATACACGTGCCATGGTGGTTTGCTGCCTCCATTCCCCCATCACCTACATTCGGTATTTCTCCTAATGTTATCCCTCCCAATCTTCCCACTCAATTTTTTTTTTTTTTTTCTTAGCCGGAGGCAGTGGTTCACACTTATAATCCCAGTACTTTGGGAGGCTGAGGAGGGAGGATCCCATGAGCCCAGGAGTTGGAGACCAGCCTGGGCAACATAGGAAGATCCTGTCTCTACAAACAATACACACATTAGCTGGGCATGATGGTGGTGAGTGCCTGTAGTCTCAGCTACTCAGGAGGTTGAGGCAGGAGGATCACTTGAGCCCAGGAGTTTGAGACAAGCCTGGCCAACATAGTGAGACCCCATCTCCACAAAAATAAAAAATTAGCCATGTGTAGTACTGTGTATCTGTGGTTTCAGCCACTCAGGAGGGTGAGGTGGGAGGATTAATCACTCAAGCCCAGGAGGTCAAGGCTGCAGTGAGCTATGATCGTGCTCCAGCCTGGGCGACAGAGCAAAAGCCTGTCTTTAATAAACAAATGAAAGGCCGGGCTTTGTGGCTGACGCCTGAAATCCCAGCACTTTGGGAGGCCAAGGTGGTGGATCATAAGGTCAGGTATTCAAGACCAGGCTGGCCAATATGGTGAAACCCTGTCTCTACTAACAATACAAAAATTAGCTGGGGATGGTGGCGCGCGCATGTTGCAGCTACTCAGGTGGCTGAGGCAGAAGAATAGCTTGAACCCAGGAGGAGAAGGTTGCAGTGAGCTGAGATCGCGTCACTGCACTCCAGCCTGGGTGACGGAGCAAGATTCTGTCTAAATAAATAAAAAGTGATGGGAAATTGGGTGTAGGGAATATGGGAAATTCTTTGTACTAGGCTCCCTTTTTTTTTTCCTGCAAATCTGAAACTATTTTAAAATAAAATTTTTTTTTCTTTTTTTTGAGACAGAGTCTCACTCTGTAGCCAGGCTGAAGTGCAGTGGCACAATCTCAGCTCACTGCAATCTCCACCTCTAGGTTCAAGCGATTCTTGTGCCTCAGCCTCCCGAGTAGCTGGAATTATAGGCACCCACCATCACGCCCAGATAATTTTTATATTTTTAGTAGAGACGGGGTTTCACCATGATGGCCAAGCTGGTCTCAAACTCCTGACCTCACGTGATCCTCCCACCTTGGCCTTTTAAAGTGCTGGGATTACAGGCATAACTACCATGCCCAGTTGAAACCAAAATAGTGCCGGCGCTGGGGGCAGTGGCACACTCCTGTAATTCCAGCACTTTGGGGGCTGAGGCAGGAGGATCTTTGGAGCCCAGGAGTTTGAGACCAGCCTGGGAAACATATTAAGGCCCCATCTCTACAAAAAAAAAATAGAAAATTAGCCAGGCATGGTGTGCACACCTGTAGTCCCAGCCACAAAGGAGGCTGAGGTGAGAGGATTGCTTGAGCCCAGACGGTCAAGGCTGCAGTGAGCTACGACTGCACCACTGTACTCCAGCCTGGGCGACAGGACAAGACTGTCTCAAAAGAAAAGAAAGAAAAAAAAGAATGGCAGCATGACAGTTTCCATTTGTAATTTTATTGTTAAAAGTAATTGTGGTTTCTGCCATTACTTTTAATTAATATAATTAATACCATGACAAATAATGGCAGGCCGGGCGCGGCGGCTCACACCTGTAATCTCAGCACTTTGGGAGACCGAGGTGGGCAGATCACGAGGTCAGGAGTTTGAGACGAGCCTGGTTAACATGGAGAAACCCCATCGCTACTAAAAATACAAAAATTAGCCAGGCATGCTGTCGGGTGCCTGTAATCCCAGCTACTCAGCAGGCTGAGGCAGGAGAATTGATTGAACCCAGGAGGCGGAGGTTGCAGCCGGGAGCCGAGATTGTGCCACTGCTCCCCAGTCTGGGCAACAGAGCGAGAGTCCAAATTAAAAAATAAAGTAATGGCAGAGGCTGGGCGCGGTGACTCACACCTGTAATCCCAACACTGGGAGGCCAAGTCGGGCAGATCACTTGAGGTCAGGAGTTTGAGACCAGCACGGCCAAGGTGGCAAAACCTGAAGTCTCTACTAAAAATACAGAAAGTAGCCGGGCGTGGTGGGGGGCATCTGTAGTCACAGCCACTCGGGAGGCTGAGGCAGGAGAATTGCTTGAACCCAGGAGGCAGAGGTTGCACTGAGCTGAGATCACACCACTGCACTCCAGCCTGGGCGACAGAAGGAGACGCCATCTCAAAAAAAAAAAAAAAAAAAGTGATGGCAGAAACTGCAATTACTTTTGCACCAAACTAATATTGAAACACATTATGTGTATATATATTTTAAAATGTAAAATAAAATATAGGCCAGATGCTGTGGGTCATGTCTGTAATCCCAGCACTTTGGGAGGCCGAGGCGGGTGGATCTCCTGAGGTCAGGAGTTTAAGACCAGCCTAGCCAACACTGTGAAACCCGTCTCTACTAAAAGTACAAAAAATTAGCTGGGCGTGGTGGTGCACGCCTGTAATCCCAGCTACTCAGGAGGCTGAGGCAGGAGAATCGCTTGAACCCGGGAGGTGGAGGTTGCAGTGAGCCAAGATTGCGCCATTGCACTCCAGCCTGGGTGACAAGAGCAAGACTCTCTCTCAAAATAATAAATTAATTAAATAAAATAAATATATACTACATATATATATGTATTTTGTTAAATAGAGATAGGGTCGCCTTATGTTGGCCAGGCTGGTCTCAAACTCCTGGCCTCAAGCAATCCTCCTATCTCGGCCTCCCAAAGTACTGGGATTGCAGGCGTAAGCCACTGCACCTGGCCCACCATTTATAATTTTAAAGGAAAGAGCAACAGACTTTCAGTTTGGAGGGCTGGGACCATTTGCAGGTACAAAATTTAGGGAGGACACCAATCTATTATTATTATTATTAATTTTTTTTAATCAGAGTCTCATTCTGTTGCCCAGGCTGAAGTGCAGTGGCGTGATCTTGGCTCACTTCAACCTCTGCCTCCTGGGTTCAGGCGATTCTTCTGCCTCAGCCTCCCAAATAGCTGGGACTACAGGTGCATGCCACCATGCCCGGCTAATTTTTTTTTTTTTTAATATATATTTTTTTGGTAGAGACAGGGTTTCACCATGTTGGCCAGGCTGGTCTTGAACTCATGACCTCGTGTCTGCCTCGGCCTCCCAAAACCAATCTATTATTATCCACACTTTACAGCTGGGGAAATCAATGCTGAGAGGAAAGTCATTCACTTAGGGGTGCATCACCCTGGCCTCCAACCTGCAGTTCAGTTCATGAAATCGTGACTTCTGACCTGGTCCCAAACTGACCCTAAAGTTTCCAGGCCCAAACAGTGCCTGCTCAAATAAATCAGGCAAAGGTCGTGTCTTTGAACCTGGAGTCCTGGCAACGCTGATAGGTCCCTCCTCATGGGACAAGATCACCGTTGGACTTTTCAGCAGATCATCTCCCACCGCTTGTTAATTGGTTCTTGTTTCTAAGTGATTTTTTGTTTATTTGTTGAAGAGATGGGTTTCCACTCTGTCACCCCGGCTGGAGTGTAGTGGCGCAATTCCAGCTCACTGCAGCCTCAAACTCCTGGGTTCAAGCAATCCTCCTGCCTCAGCCTCCTGAGTAGCTGGGACCACAGGTATGTACACTACCATGCCTGGCTGTAAGTGGCTTTAATGGGGTCCTTTTAGGAAGAGAGATGTTGGAGTGAGGGTCTGGGGGAGTTCCCCAGGCCTTCTGGGAGGCCTGGGCTCTGGCCTTGGCCTTGCCTGCCATCTGGCCCTGCTGAAAACAAAAAACGTGGAAACGGCTGGGGTGTGGTGACTCATGCCTGTATTCCCAGCACTTTGACAGGCTGAGGCAGCCAGATCACGAGGTCAGGAGTTCAAGACTAGACTTGTGGGTAACCCCCCCATACAGGCACCGAGGAATGAGAGCTAAGCAGAACCCTGGCACAGGTAGGGCTTGAGGAATATCTCACTTTATAGTGTTACTACTCAGCTATTTCCTTTTTATATAATCCTCTACATGATCATGTATTAGTTTATAGAAATAGGGCTTGACGAAATCCCTTTATATAAACTTCTATATATAATCATATAATAGTTGATGAGTGCCTAAAGAATATCTCCCTACATATATACCTATAATTATATCTTAGTTCATAATCGGAGGAATGCCTAGAGTGGACACAGTACAGAGCATGAATTAAGGAATAAGCAGCTTATAATCAGAGGAATGTCTAGAGCAGACACAGTGCAGAGCATGATTTAAGGGAAAACAGTTACACCAGGACAAGAATCCATGGCCCAGGCGGCAGCGTTCAGTATTGTAAAGATACCCGCTGTATGGCAGGCTTGGGGCGAGAGCCACTCCTCCTGATAAAGGAGTTGTAGGACCTTGCTCCAGTTCTTGTGGAAGGCTGCCCTCAGAACGGCAATCCACCTTGGTGACTGTGAACTTTATCAGCTCTTGCTACTGTGCTGCTTGAAAAGCATCTTCCCATAGAACCCATTGGAAGCTGCCAGAAGGTGGTGGTAACCCTGACAGCTCTGTCATTCTATGTGACTTAAAGCATCCTCCTATAAATCTTCTTAGAAGTAGTTTGCCCATAGACAGAAGTATTGCACACTGCACCCTCTTCACTGCGCACGGCCCACCTCCTGGCCTAGGTGACCTAATGGGGGTGGACCCCTTGTCTTACTGCTCACAACCATAGCACTATCCTTAAAGATGACTTCACTCACTGCCCTGCCCCCTAACCTAGACACAATAAATACTCAGGCTTCTGGACATTCAGGGCCTTACCTGACTCTGCGTATAGGTGGCGTGGCCCCCCCAAGCCCAGCTGCATCTTCCTTGTACTTCTGTGTCCTGTCTGTATTTCTCGGATCCTGCGCCTCAGCACAGCATAAGGCTCACCCCACGGCCCTGTGGGGCCCTCAGCCCTACAAGACTGACCAACAATGAGAAACCTACTAAAAATACAAATCACTAAAAATACAAAACTTAGCCAGGTATGGGGGTGCATGCCTGTACTCCCAGCTACTCCGGGAAGCGGAAGTTGCGGTGAGGCAAGATCGGGCCATTGCACTCCAGCCTCGGCAACAGAGCAAAACTCCATCTCAAAAACAAAAAACAAAACAAGGCCGGTGCAGTGGCTAACGCCTATAATCCCAGCACGTTGGGAGGCTGAGGCCAGTGGATCACAAGGTCAGGAATTCAGGACCAGCATGGCCAACATGGTGAAACCCCATTCCTACTAAAAATACAAAAATTAGCCAGACACGGTGGCGGGTGCCTGTAATCCCAGCTCTCAGGAGGCTGAGGCAGGAGAATGGCTTCAATCAGGGAGGCGGAGGTTGCGTGAGCCAAGATCATGCCATTGTACTCCAGCCTGGCAACAAGAGCAAAACTCTGTCTCACACACACACACACACACACACACACACACACGGAAATGGCAGACCCAACAGAATCTGGGCTGTGGTCAGCCTGTGGCTGAAGAAGCTACAAGAAAAATATGCAGCCCCCTTCCTGTGGTCATGCCCTGCAGTTGGGCACCGATAATGGTGCTGATTTCCTGCAGGAAGCTCTGGCTCTCTTAGCCACATGAGCAGCAGCTCAGTACAGCCTGAGTGCCCCACCCCAGTGTCCACGCCCACAGCACTCGCCCCATCCCAGGTTTCTTCCCCAGATGTCTCCCAGGCCCATTGGGTTTAGCACATCCCAAGTGGAGCCAACTATCTTTCCTCAAAGAAAAATCCTTGTTAAGCAGAGCATGCTGGCTCAAGCCTGTAATCCCAGCATTTTTGGAGGCCGAGGCAGGCAGATTGCCTGAGCTCAGGAGTTTGAGACCACCCTGGCCAACATGGTAAAACCCCGTCTCTACTAAAAACCAGAAGAAATTAACCTGGTGTGGTGGTGTGCACCTGTAGTCCCAGTTATTCGGGAGGCTGAGGCAGGAGAATCACTTGAACCCGGGAGGCGGAGGTTGCAGTGAGCCAAGATCACTCCACTGCACTCCAGCCTGGGCGACAGAGCAAGACTCTGTCTCAAAAAAAACAATGCAAATACAAAAAATATTAGTCGGGTGTGGTGGCCCGCACTTGTAGTCCCAGCTACTGGCGAGGCTGAGGCGGGAGAATCAGTTGAATCTGGGAGGTAGAGTCTGCAGTGAGCTGAGATTGCACCATTGCACTCCAGCCTGGGCGACAGAGTGAGACCTTATCTCAAAAAGAAAGAAAGATTCTCACTATTATCTTTCCATCCATTTGCCCTGAGCCACAGGCCTGGCAGGTGGTGTGTGCATCCATTGAGCACCTACTGGATACCAAAGCACGTTACTGGCACCTCCTCCCTCGCCTGTCCTGGAGAGGCTGGCCCTGTTATTGTTCCTTTACAGATGAAGAAGCAGGCTCAGTTTACCTGGCATCCTGGAGTCGCAGGAGCACTTTTTCTGGAAGTAGGAGCCCGTTTCCTGCCGGTGGCGGGACAGAAACCAATATTGTTTGTTGGCTGGGGCGTCCCCTGGTGGCCAAATGCAGAACTGCAGCCTGGGCCGTGTAGGCCTGTGGGGTCTCCCAGCTTCCTGATGGCTCCAGTCTCACCTCCTGCTCACACACCCTCCCATAGTCCCCTCGGTGGGGACAGCGGCCCTGAATGAAGCCCTGCTCATCACCACGGAGACACCTGAACACAAAACCTAGTCTCTAGGGTCAGACCCAGGCCCTGCCCCCACTCCACCACTCAACTGTGAAACCTCAGTTTCCCCAGGTGGGGACTGGGCCAGCGATCACCGCCTCTGCCTCTTCAGGTCATGGTACAGATGAATGCAGGCTGGCATGGCCTAGGCACCCAGTAACTCACAGGAGAGATGCAGGGACTTGAGTGGAGTGTCCCAGGCAGCCACAGCTTCCCTACTACAGGAGGTCTGGCTGGCACCCAGTTGGGAAGGGCCCAAGGCCTTTTAAAGCAGGGTGAAAACAAGGCCATCTCCCTTCTGGGAAACTGAAACTAAAAGCCTAAGGATCCTCTGCCTGTAGGTGGCCCAGGCCGGAGCTGCTGCTAAGAGTACTTCCTGGATCTTGCTATTGGTCAGGAGGGGCTTTTATGCTAATAATGGGGAGGCCCGCAGAAGATTCCAGCACCCTCCTCTAACTCCAGGCCAGACTCCTTTCAGTTAGTGGGGAGCTCTAGATGGCACCTACTTTGTTTCACTATTCCCTAGTGCCCATGGATGACTTTCTGAAGCATGAGAGCAAGGAGCGCTGTAAGCTTCCAGTGGGGACAGGAGTTGTGGTGCTCCTGGTCATAGTGGCTGTGGCTCTGGGGGTGCTCCTGATTGTCTATGTCAAAAAGGCCAACAGCGAGGCCTGCCAAGAGGGCCACCGGGCAGTGATGGAGTGTCGAAATGTCACCCATCTCCTGGAACAAGAGCTGACCCGGGCCCAGGATGGCTTCCGGGATGCTGAGGCCCAGATCGCCACCTACAACCAGACTGTGGTAAGCATCTCAATTCCTTTGGATGGCCTAGTGCTGGGGGGCGTGAGCCGAGACACCCTCCCCAGAAATCTGACACAGAGTGGGTCTCCAGGGAGATGCGGGGAGGGAGGGGTCTTGAAACTGTTCCTGGGTCCCCACGTCAAGAGACCTAGGTTTACCTACCAGGGTTTGGGGCCCTCTGACCCAGTCTGGGACACTGGTGTAGGGGCAAGCCGTTAAAAGTCCCCAGATCCCCCAGATCAGGGACCTCAGTATCCCCACTGGGACTTAGGTGAATTTATACTTTCCAGGGCACTGGTATGGGTGGACTTGAAACTCCTCGTGGGCACCGGTCCTGGGAGAGTAGGAATCCCTGTTCAGGGTTGAATGGGGACCTCGCCAGACTCTGAAAAAGGAGACTCTTGAAATTTCCACTTCATCCCCGAGAAACTGAAATATATTCACCCGGGTCCCCATATGGGGGCTCTTGAAACTGTCACTGGGCATGTCACTTGGGCTGGGAAGTCCCACTGTGTTCTGGATTTGGTAGGACCCTCTAACTTTTCTTGGGCCATCTGAAAATGTCTACTAAACTTTGGTTATCGAGAGCCTCCAAGTTGCCATGTGGGGGGGGGCCTCCCGCTTATGGGTGGCCCTGGGTGACTGTGGTTGTGGCTGTTCTTCAAGTTTAAAGATCACCGTGCAGAAGAGGGTTGGAAGAAAACCCGGAAAGGGTTTGCATTTAAGCCCCAGGACCTAGGGAAGAGGTCCAAGTCCCAGGGGCAACAGCCCAGGGCCAGAACCCCAGATTCTGACCCTTCCCTCTGTCCTAGATGACCCTAATGGCTTCCCTGGATAAGGAGAAGGCTCATTCCCTGGATGCGGAGAAGAAAGTGGAGGAGCTTGAGGGTAAGGAAGAGGGAAGGGAAGGGGCTGGGGAGGGGTAAGTCAGGAATGGAAGAGAGGGTGGGGCAGGGAGACCAGGGTTGGAGGTTAGGGTAAGGGGGAGGTCCTGTCCCAGAGTGGGGCAGGGCCAGAGCCTGGCCACGTGCTGACTCGCCCCCTGATTCTGTCCACCCACTCCACCAGGAGAGATCACCACATTGAACCAGAAGCTTCAGGACGCCTCTATGGAGGTGGAGCGACTGAGGTCAGAGATAACCTCTCCCTCTGCTGCCCTCCACCCGCCACAGCCCTCTCAGCCCCGCGTTCCTACCCGGGGACCGAGGATCTCCTTGGCTCCCAAAATCCCCATTGCCCCAGGGGGTAAGGTTTGAGTCCCACAAAAGGACAACTTAGCCCCGAGGGTCACAGAGCCCTGGGTGGCCGCCGTCCATTCCCTCCCCAGGGACTTGGATTGGGGCGGTGCGGCGGGAACTCCGAGGGGCGATGGACTTACAGGGAGGGCGGCAGGAGCCCGGTCGGGCAGATGCCTGATTTGCCCCTGTCTGTACCGCAGGAGGAAAAACCAGGACTTAAGCGCGAGAATCGCGGACCAGAAGAACTCCGCCAGCTCCCTGAAGGACACCAGCTCCGCGGCGGCGCCTCTGCTCCTGATTCTGCTGCTGGGCCTCAGCGCTCGGCTCCTCTGAGATCCCGGGAAGCCGGTCAGTGAGAAAGGGGCGGCCCCGGGAGGGAGAAGAAAGCTGGGGAAGGGGAGCAGGGAAGCCGGGACTTCGAGGTCTAGAGAGAGGGGCTGCAGGGGAGGGGACTGGCCGCAGAGGAGAGGGGTCTTGGGGAGGGAAGGGGAATCCAGTGAGAAGAGAAGGGTGCCCCGGAGCGGGGCGGGGCTTACTGCTATATGGGCGGGGCCATCGATGGGGGCGGGGCCATCGACGGAGGCGGGGTCAATAAATAGTGGGGGGCGGGTCTATGGGCGGAGGCGGGGTCAATAAATAGTGGGGGGCGGGTCTATGGGCGGAGGGGAAGGGCATGTAAGTAGTGGGGCGGGTCTATCGATGGGGGCGGGGTCAGTGTCTGCTTCCTCGAGTCGGCCCTTAGTACCTCTTCTGGTCCTTTAGGCGCAGCTTCGAAGGGCCGGTTCCCGCTCAGCTTTTCGCTTGGACAATCCCGTGATCTCATCGGTTCTGGGAGGGTCATGGGGCAGCAGGTCTGGAGGGGCCATGGGGCAGTGCTGGGTGTAGGGACCCAGAGTTGCCTCCCTCCAGAGCCGGGCAGGGAATGATTGTCTCCTCTTGTCTCCCGCCCTGAGTTTGGGCATGGGGTGCCGTAGGGTGGCAACTGCTGCCTGGTACGGTTTTTTTTTGGGGGGGGTGCTTTTTTCTGGAGTCTTTGAGCTTCAAAAATAAACGCTTCCTTTCGGGGGGGGGCACACCTTACTCGAGTTCCTGGAGTGTCATTGTGTTAGTCCCGAAGCGTCTGGGGCCTCCCCTGCAGGTGAGGGTGGATCCCCGTTGACGACAACACTTCGCCTTCCCTGCCCCAGGGCGTTTTCAGGAGCCCGCGGCGTTCGGGCAGGCACCACCCCAGTTCCTCCCAGCCCTCTTCTCTGCTGGGATCCACACAAGGATGGACTACGCACCCTCATCAGGATTCACCCTTTTCCCAGTGTTATATTCTCATTTCCTCCCTACAGCCTCTCCCGATGCCTGGAGTTCCAGGGAGGAAACTGAGGCTGTATCGAGAGAAACCTTGTCTTGCTTCCCTCCCGCCTGCAGAAAATGCTGGGCTGGGATTTAAACCGGGATCTGTACACACACACAGGCCATACCTTCGTCAGGAAATTTCCCCTCCTTCATCCCCCAAACTCTCTCTTTTTCTTTTTTGAGACAGAGTTTCATTCCTGTTACCCAGGTTGGAATGCAATGGCGCAGTCTCGGCTCGGCTCACCACAACCTCTGCCTCCCAGGTTCAAGTGATTCTCCTACCTCAGCCTCCCGAGTAGCTAGGATTACAGGCATGCGCCACCATGCCTAGCGAATTTTTTTGTATTTTTAGTAGGGACAGGGTTTCTCCATGTTGGTCCAGCTGGTCTCGAACTCCCGACCTCAGGTGATCCACCTGCCTCGGCGTCCCAAAGTGCTGGGATTGCAGCCGTGAGCCACTGTGCCCACCCTTTTTTTTATAGAGATGGAGTTTCACTCTTGTTGCCCAGGCTGGAGTGCAATAGTGCGATCTCAGCTCACTGCAACCTCTGCCTCCTGGGTTCAAGCGATTCTCCTGCCTCAGCGTCTCTAGTAGCTGGGACTACAGGCATGCACCACCACATCCGGCTAATTTTGCATTTTTAGGAGCGATAGGTTTCTCCATATCGGTCAGGCTGGTCTGGAACTCCTAACCTTAGATGATACGCCTGCTTTGGCCTCCCAAAGTGCTGGGATTACAAGCACGAGCCACCATGACCAGCCCCCATTTTTTTAAAAAAACAGAATTTTTCGGCCAGGCGCAGTGGCTCACACCTGTAATCCCAGCACTTTGGGAGGCTGAGATGGGTGGATCACGAGATCAGGAATTCAAGACCAGCCTGGCCCACATGGTGAAACCCCATCTCTATTTTTGAAAAAAGAAAAAAAAAATTTTTTTTCTCTGTCACCCAGGCTGGCATCAAGTGGCTAAATCTCGACTGACTGCAACCTCCACTTCCTGGGTTCAAGTGATTATCGTGCCCCAGCCTTCCAAGTAGCTGGGATTACAGGACTGCACCACCACATCCAGCTAATTTTTGTGTTTTTAATGGAGACGGGGGTTTCATCATGTTGGCCAGGCTGGTCTCCAACTCCTGACCTACCCGCCTTGGCCTCCCAAAGTGCTGGGATTACAGGCATGAGCCATCGCACCCGGCCCCATTCCCCAAACTCTTACTCATTCTGCATTAGCCAGCTCTGGGAACCCCTCCCCCAGAGAGTCTCTCTGCTTCTCCACAGCTGAGGGCTGCAATCCCGAGACCCTTCACCTACCTTGTTGGTCCTCGAAGGCCCCATAGTCACTTCCCTCTCTGTTATCTTCCTTCCTCCAAGTTCCCCCAGAAGCCCAGCTATTGTCTCTGCAACTGCAACTTCCTGTTTGTGGCAGTGGGGCCAGGAGCCCCTTGTCCCAGACTTCTGCATTGTCCTCAGTCCCATAGTCCCTGGCCCAGATGGTCAGTGGGATTAAAAAAAAAAAAAGCCGGCTGGGCGCAGTGGCTCACGCCGATAATCCCAGCACTTTGGGAGGTCGAGGCGGGTGGATCACGAGGTCAAGAGATCGAGACCATCCTGGTCAACATGGTGAAACCCCGTCTCTACGAAAAATACAAAAAAAATTAGCTGAGAATCGTGGCGCATGCCTGTAGTCCCAGCCACTTGGGAGGCTGAGGTGGGAGAATTGCTTCAATCCAAGAGGCGGAGGTTGCGGTGAGCCGAGATCGCGCCATTGCACTCCAGCCTGGGTAACAAGAGCGAAACTCTGTCTCAAAGAAAAAAAAAAAAAAAAAAAAAAAGAGCCCTCTGGCTAGTCACAGTGGCTCATGCCAGAAATCCCAGCACTTTGGGAGGCCAAGGCGGGTGGATCACTTGAACTCAGTTCAAGACCAGCCTGGCCAACGTGGTAAAACCCCATCTCTATTAAAAATACAAAAAATTAGTTGGGGGTGGTGGCACATGGTATGGTCTCAGCTACACAGGAGGCTGAGGCAGGAGAATAGTTTGAACCTAGGAGGTGGAGGTTGCAGTGAACTGAGACTGAGCCTCTGCACTCCTGCTTCGGCGACAGAGTAAGACTCTGTTTACAAAAAAAAATAAGCCTCCACCTCTCTCAGCGAGAGGGTCCCCAAATAACTCCCCTGCCCCAGGCCGCCCGGGGCCCTCTCACCCCTCACTTCCCCTTGCTCACCGCCTCCACCTTTCCTCGTGCTATCCTCCTTTTTGCCTCAAGGCCTTTGCCCAAGCTCTGCCTGATGCTTAGAGCACCTGTTCCCCACTCCCAAGGTCCAGGGCAGGGTCTCAGCCTCAGCACTATTGGTGTTTGGGCTGGATGGTTCTCTGGGTGAGGACCATCCTGGTGGATTGTAGGGTTTTTTTTGCTTTGGCCTTGGTGGTTTGTTTGTTTGTTTGTTTTTGAGACGGAGTCTCACTCTGTCATCCAGGCTGGAGTGCAGTGGCACGATCTTGGCTCACTGCAACCTCTACCTCCTGGGTTTAAGCAATTCTCCTGCCTCAAGCCTCCCAAGTAGCTAGGATTACGGGCACTTGCCATCATGCCTGGCTAATTTTTGAATTTTTAGTAGAGACCGGGTTTCTCCATGTTGGTCAGGTTGGTCTCGAACTCTCGACCTCAGGTGATCCGCCCACCTTGGCCTTCCCAAGTGCTGGGATTACAGGCATGAGCTACCACTCCTAGCCTCTTTCTTTTTTTCTTTCTTTCTTTCTTTCTTTTTTTTTTTTTTTGCTTTTTTCTTTTTTGAGATGGAGTCTCTCTCACCCAGGCTGGAGTGCAATGTCGCAACCTCGGCTTGCTGCAGCCTCTGCCTCCTGGGTTCAAGCGATTCTCCTGCCTCAGCCTCCCAAGTAGCTGGAATTATAGGCATGCCTCACCATGCCCAGCTAACTTTTTTTGTATTTTTAGTAGAGATGGGGTTTCACCATGTTGCCCAGGCTGGTCTCGAACTCCTGACCGCATGTGATCTGCCCACTTTTGCCTCCCAAAGTGCTGAGATTACAGGTGTGAGCCCCTGCATCCTGCCTGGCTGTTGGGATTTTGACACCAACAGCTCTTTGAGAGGCCAAGGTGGGCAGGTCACTTGAGGTCAGGAGTTCAAGACCAGCTTGGACAACATAGTGAAATCCCATCTCTACTAAAAATACAAAAATTAGCCGGGCGTGATGGTGTGCACCTGTAATCCCAGCTACTCAGGAGGCTGAGGCAGGAGAATGGCTTCAACCAGAGGTGGAGTTGCAGTGAGCCAAGATTGCACCATTGCACTCCAGCCTGGGCAACTAACTAAATAAATAAATAAGATTTAAAAAGAATGGAAAAAACATAATCCCAGACGACAGCCAAGCACCTCCTTTGCAGATGCGGTCTTCAGGGCTTTCCACAAATGTGCCAGCTTGTTTCCTACCGAACCCTACGGAGCAGGAGTTAATGGTCTCCCCTTTTCACAGAGGGGGAGACTGAGGCATAGAGGAGGGCAGCACGCTCGGGATGCAGGAACTCAGGACCCCTAGTTCTTTCTTGGGCTCGACGAGATGGACCAGCCCCTGGAGGGTGTCCAACCCCTCCCAATGGACTCGGGAAGCCACGGCCAGGCTGGGCGGAACCGTGGGTGTCCCTGGCGCCGCAAGGTGCCAATTAAATGCTCGTGGCCGTCTGGGGCCAGAGCTGTGGACGGCAGCATGGCCGAGCCGGGGCCGGAGCCCGGGCGTGCCTGGCGGGTGCTCGCCCTGTGCGGGGTGGCCGTGTTCCTGGCCGCAGCAGCGGCTGGCGGGGCCCTGGTAGCCTGGAATCTGGCCGCCTCGGCCGCTCGGGGACCTCGCTGCCCGGAGCCGGGGGTCAATGCCACAGTGCCGCCCGGGGACCCGCCGCCTGGGGTCGATGAGCTGCGACGCCGGCTGGCAGAGGCTGCCGAGCGGGAGGAGGCCCTAGCCAGGCAGCTGAACCGGGCAGAAGGTATCCGGCGGGAGTTGGAGAAGGCATTAAAGGCCTGTGAGGGCCACCAGGTAGGTGGGCCGGGTGGAGGGGGAGCTTGGGAATCCAGAATGTTGGGGTAAGAGAGGGCCTGCCCACACATCCCCAGGTTTCCCTCCCTGTGCCTCGGTTTCCCCAGTTCCTCAAATTGAGGAGGCATTGAGAATAGCACCCTAATGCCTTCCAACTCTTACGATGTTAGTTCACCATGGAGTCTACCTTCTGATCAAAAAGGTGGATAACCTGAGGTCAGGAGTTCAGAACCAGTCTGACCAACATAGCAAAACCCCGTCTCTACTAAAAATACAAACGTAAGCCAGGCGTGATGGTGTACACCTGTAATTCCACCTACTCGGAAAGTTGAGACAGGAGAATCACTTGAACTCGGGAGGTGGAGGTTGCAGTGAGCTGAGATCATGCCACAGCACTCCAGCCTGCATGGCAGAACGAGATTCTGTCTCTAAATTTAAAAAAGGGTCTCACTGTCTTCTGCCATTTGCCAGATAAATGGTGTCTGGAGAGACCCCAGACCACTTGAGGCCCTCCTGCATGCCCCCATATCCCCACTCAGCCCCACTCCAGCCAGTTTCCAGCAGCCCTATTTCGAGAGCAGGACACACAAGTCACCTGTAATTAGGAGGCTAAAGTTGGCCTCTTGGGGGAGGTACCTGCTAGATCCTCCTTTTCCGCAGGCTCACCCTTCAGACTTTTTCTTAACCCTTTCCAGCCCTGAGCCTGACAAAAGAACTGTCCTAAAAATCCCAACTATTTCCATTTATGGAGTGACTACTGTATACCTCTGTGTACACCTCCCACTCCACTCCACCCTCCGAGTCCAGCCAAGGTAGGGCAGCATCTGAATTTTAAAAATCAGAATGGGGAGCGAGCGGTGGCTCACGCCTGTAATTCTAGCACTTTGGGAGGCCAAGGTGGGTGGACATTTGAGGTCATGAGTTCAAGACCAGCCTGGCCAATGTGGTAAAACCCTGTCTCTACTAAAAATATGAAAACGAGCTGTGTGTGGTGGCAGGCACCTGTAATCCCAAGCGGAGGTTGCATTGAGCTAGATGCCACCACTGCACTCCCGCCTGAGTGAGACCCTGTCTCAAAAAACAAAAGAAATAAAAATAAACCCTTACCCCTTTTCTGCCCCCACCAAGAAGGGAAGGGACTAGAGCAGTCAAGGTGCTGTAAGATGTCCTGAGGAGGCTGGACCAGCCCTTTTGCAGAGTGTCCTACAGAGACAACAGACACGTACCCTAGAAATTCAATCACTGTCAAGCATCAAATTGCCCTGTGTTGGTTTCTGTTGCTGCTGGGTTTTGGTGTGTTTTGTTTTGAGACAGAGTCTTGCTCTGTTGCCCAGGCTCGAGTGCAGTGGTGGGATCTCAGCTCACTGAAACCTCCGCCTCCCAGGTTCAAGTGATTCTCCTGCCTCAGCCTCCCAAGGAGCTGGGATTCCAGGCGCCCACCACCACACCCGGCTAATTTTTGTATTATTTTAGTAGAGACGGGGTTTCACCATGTTGGCCAGGCTGGTCTCAAACTCCTGGCCTCAAACGATCTCACCCACCTCAGCCTCCCAGAGTGCTGAGATTACAGGCATGAGCCACAGTGCACCCGGCCCCCTGTGTTGGTTTGTAACCCCATCAGCGAGTCCCAGATGGAGCTGAAAGTGGAACTTCAATCTGACTGCAGAGCTAAGCAGTCTCCACTTTCCGGTGGCTTAGGGTTGCTGGTGTTAAACCTGGGCAGAGATCTTCCTCCAGGCAGGCAGCTGTCACCACTCGGTGCCCCAGGCTTCAGAAGTCACTTCTGTATTCTACAATTACAAGGCCCGAAAGGACATTCCACACAAAGTTCAGGACACAGGGTCCTCGGTGGCTTCTCACTGTCCCCAAAAAGGCCAGGCCTATTCACTCCTCCCCTCCTCTGCCTACACCCCCTCCCACTTCCCCTCCACTCCTCAGAGCCGGCTTCAGACCCAACTAACGACACTGAAGATTGAGATGGACGAAGCCAAGGCACAGGGGACCCAGATGGGGGTCGAGAACGGGGAGCTGACAGGTGCGTTGCGGTGCAAGGGAGTGGGCAGGGATTAAAGGTGGGAGGAGCCTAGATGAATACTAGTTATACAAAAAGGCACGCAAACGTAATGCAAATAACATGGAAATAAACGCAAAAACTTATGAAGCGAATGCAAACAACATGCAGAGGTCATGAACGCAAATGCCACAAAACATGCCAACGCCTTTTAAACGACTCACAAAAGCAATGCAAACCTATGAAAAGCTATGCAAATAGCATGTGGAGCCAGGCAATGGCACACACAAATTTAATTCAAATAAAGCAAAGCATGCAAATGGCATGCAGAATATCAACTCGGATTCCGGCGTGCCTGGGGCGAGTGAGGGCGGAGTCTCCAGCCTGATCCCGCCCCCTGCGCCCGCAGAAGCCCTGGCGCGCTGGGAGGCGGTGGCCATGGAGTCTGCGCGGCGGCTGGACGAGGCTCAGCGGCGCGCCGGTGTAGCGGAGGCTGAGAGCGAAGCCTGCGCAGCCCGAGAGGCGGCGCTGCGCGAACGCTAGTGAGTGAGGGGCGGGCCCGAGGGCGGGATGGGACAGGGAGGGTGCGACCAATGGCTTAGCAAGGTACATTATTTCGGCCAATCATTACTTTGGGTGTGGCATTGTGGGCGGGGCATTGTTGGATATGCTGGGAGGATTCTAGAGTTGGAACCTGAGGATGGAGAAGGGAATGGACTCTCTTGGGGTTCCAGGCTGGGGCGGGCATTCTAGAAACTTGGGTTCCCAGGATCCAGCGTCGGTGGGGGGCCCGAGAAGGACGGGGAACAGAAGAGAAGGGTGCAAGAAAAAGGGAGTATGGAGGGAGAGGCTGGTGGTCTGGGGACAGAGCTTCTGGGGATGGAGCTGGGAGTCTCTAGGGAGTTGTCCCGGGAATGGCTGCGGGTAGAGAACTGATGACGGATCCTGGGGACCGGGAGACCCTGGTAGTTGCAGATCTCTGGGGATGGAGTTCCCAGCGAAGGGGCGCTCGGGCGGATGAGGGCTGTCGATGTCTGGGGACAGGGGTCCAGAGGCTGACAGCCCCCTTCCCCCTTCCCGGCAGTAACGCCCTGGAAACCGAGATGAGCCACCAGCGCAGAGTGCCCCGGCCGCGGCCCCGCTCGGGGTCCCGACCCCGGCCCAGCCCTCGCTCGCGATCTCGCTCCGGACCCTCCGGGGGCTGCCGGCGGCCGGCGCGGCGCGCACGAGGGTGAGTCGGCCCCAGCCGGAAGGGGGCTTCGGCCAAGGAGGACAGACATTGGTGGGGGGGACTCTGCGGGACGTGTATAGAGGCGCCCTCACGCTGGATGCGACGCTCGGCTTTAGACCCTGGAGCCGCCCTGAATGGACACTGCACAGAAAGGAGCCTCAGCCCTCTCTCTTCAACCGTGTAAAGTACTTATTCTACAGACAGGGAAACTGAGGCCCAGGTGATCATGCAGTGAGTTAGTGTGGAGCTGGGATTTGAAGTCTCCTCTAACAAAAGTGTTGCCCTCAATTTTTGAGGACTTTAGGACTAGCCCTGGCTCAGGAGTGACCTGAAACGGTCACTCTCCCTCTCTGCGTCTCAGTTTATCCTATCTGTAGAATGGGTGATTGAACTCATGATAGGGAGTTGATTTGACAACAAAAGCTGATGAAAGTGGCACAATAGGAAAACCGCAAATCCCTAACCCTGTGAGAAGGATACAAAACTCCCAGATGGAATTTAAACAAAAAGAACTAAGCAACGTGTTTGTTTGGCTGGTTTTGTTTGGTTCTGAGATGGAGTTTCACTCTTGTTGCCCAGGCTGGAGTGCAATGGCACGATCTGGGCTCACTGCCACCTCTACCTCCTGGATTCAAGCAATTATGCCTCAGCCTCCCAAGCATCTGGGATGACAGGCCCCCACCACCATGCCCAGCTAATTTTTGTATTTTTAGTAGAGACGAGGTTTCACAATGCTGATCTCGAACTCCCGAATTTAGATGATCCACCCGCCTCGGCCTCCCCAAGTGCTGGGATTACAGGCATAAGCCACTGTGCCCAGCCCATGTTTTTAACCTAAACTGCAACAAAGGTGACATGCCTGAGATGGAGCAGTGATTCAATATTCCCAAGTGTGTTAATCACTATAGTAATAGATCAAATGAGAAAATTTATAAATTGTGGGGGGGAAAAACACATCAAAATCAGTGCCATGGTAAGGACATCCACTGTCAAGTAGTTATTTTTCTGGGCATACTAGCCAATGCAATTACACAAGAAAAATAAAAGGTACAATGAAAAGGAAGAGAATCTCATGAAAGTACTGTTCCTATGGGTCAAAAATCATTGAAATATGGACACTTTTATATTGCTCAATTTCACATGACTGTATTGGTGGGTTTTCTTTCTTTTTTCTTTTTTTTTTGAGACAGAGTCTTGCTCTGTCTCCAGGCTGAAGTGCAGTGGCACGGTCTCGGCTCACTACAATTTCTGCCTCCCGGATTCAAGTGATTCTCCTGCTTCAGCCACCCACGTAGCTGGGACTACAGGCGCCCACCACCATACCTGGCTAATTTTTGTGTTTTTAGTAGAGACGGGGTTTCACCATGTTGGCCAGGATGGTCTCGATTTCCTGACCTCGTGATCTGCCTGCTTTGGCCTCCCAAAGTGCTGGGGTTACAGGTGTGAGTCACCGTGCCTGGCTTATTTTTCAAGTCTTTAAACATTTTTAGCTTGTTATCTAAATGTAAACTTTATGTTTGGCGTAACTACAGACTTACAGAAAAATTGGTGTATTAGTACAAAGAAGTTCTGGATATCCTTCACCCAGATTCCTGAAGTGTTCACTTTGTTTTTGTTCTGTTCTGGGTTTTTGAGATAGGGTTTCTATATATCACCCAGGCTGATCTCCAACTCCTGAACAATGCTAAGGTTCACATGTCACTTTGACTCCTCCAAACTCAAGGCTGGCCAGGTGTGGTGGCTCACACCTGTAATCCCAACATTTTGGGAGGCCAAGGTAGGAGGATCACTTGAGCCCAGGAGTTCGAGAACAGCCTGGGCAACATAGAGAAAACCTATCTCTACAAATAATAACAAGAATTAGCTGAGCATGGTGACATGCATCTGTAGACCCAGCTGTTCAGGAGGCCGAGGCAGCGGAATCACTTGAACCCAGGACCACAAGTCTGCAGTGAATTGTGATCACACCACTGCACTCCAGTCATCTCAGTTACAGAGCAAGACAGAGACACTGATCACAGCCTCCGCCTCTGAGCCATCCAGGGGTCTAGGAATTGTCAGGGGACATATTCTCAAAACTTGAATATTAAAACTTTGGAGTCTCACTCTGTCAGCGGGCTAGAGTGCAGTGGTGTATTCTCAGCTCACTGCAACCTCCAACTCCCAGGTTCAAGCAATTCTCCTGCCTCAGCCTTCCGAGAAGCTGGGATTATTGGCATGCGCCACCACGCCCAGCTAATTTTTTGTATTTTTAGGAGAGACGGGGTTTCATCATGTTGGCCAGGATGGTCCCAATCTCCTGACCTCTGATCTGCCTGCCTCGGCCTCCCAAAGTGCTGGAATTACAGGCATGAGCCAGAAAAAAAAAATGTTAAAAATCATGAGGCCAGTCACGGTGGCTCATGCCCATAAGCTCAATACTTTGGGAGGATAAGGCAGGAGAATCTCTTGAGCCCTGAAGCTCAAGACCAGTCTGGGCAACATAAGGAGACCCTATCTCTACAAATAACTTCTTAAAAATTCTTTGGGGCTGGGCACGGTAGCTCACGCCTGTAATCCCAGCACTTTGGGAGGCCAAGGTGGGCGGATCACAAGGGCAGGAGTTCTAGACCAGCCTGGCCAACATGGTGAAACCCCATCTCTACTAAAAATACAGAAATTAGCTGGGCATGGTGGCGTGCGCCTGAGGTCCCACCTACTCAGGAGTCTGAGGCAGGAGAATTGCTTAAACCCGGGAGGCAGAGGTTGCAGTGAGCCGGGATCATGCCGTTGCACTCCAGCCTTGGTGACAGAGTGAGACTCTATCTCAAAAAAAAAAATTCTTTGGGAGGCTGAGGCAGTGAATCACTTGAGCTCAGGTGTTTGAGACCAGCCTGGGCAACATGGTGAAACCCTGTTTCTACCAAAAATACAAAAAATTAGCTAGACGTGGTAGTGTGCACCTGTGGTCCCGCTACTCAGGAGGCTTAGGTGGGAGGACCGCTTGAGCCTGGGAGGCAGAGGCTGCAGTGAGACAAGATCACACCACTGCACTCCAGCCTGGGTGACAGAGCAAAACCCAGTCTCAAGCAAAGCCAAACAAAACAAAGAAGAGAAAATAGCCAGGCCAGGCTTGGTGGCATGTACCTGTGGTCCCAGCTACTCAAAAGGCTGAAACAGGAGAATCACTTAAGCCCAGGAGGTGGAAGCCGTAGTGAGCCATGATCATGCCACTGCACTCCAGCCTAGGTGACAGAGTGAGACCCTGTCTCAAAAAAAAAAGAAAAGAAAGAAAGAAAAAAAGCTGGGCATGGTGGCTCACACCTGTAATCCCAGCACTTTGGGAGGCTGAGGCAGGCAGATCATGAAGCCAGGAGATGGAGACTATCCTGGCTAACATGGTGAAACTCCGTTTCTACTAAAAATACAAAAAATTAGCCGGGGGTGGTGGCACACACCTGTTGTCCCAGCTACTAAGGAAGCGGAGACAGGAGAAACACTTGAATCTGGGAGGTGGAGGTTGCGGTGAGCTGAGATTGCACCACTGCACTCCAGCCTGGGCAACAAAATGAGACCCTGTCTCAAAAAAAAAGAAGAAAGAAAGAAAGGAAAAGAAAAGCGTTTGTCCCTCCACACAGTGGAGCACTATTAAACCGCCATTTAAATGGCCAAAGCAGATCTTCTCTAAGATAAGTTAATATGAAAAGCAGGAGAGTGATATTTTGTGTATTTTTTTTAATGCAGGGCTTGGGGAGGGGACGTTTATTCAAATATCTCTGAAGGAGACACTGATCACAGCCTCCGCCTCTGGGGAGCGATCCAGGGGTCTGGGAATTGGTAGGGGACATATTCTCACATTTCTCTATGTACCTTTTATAAAGATTGCATTTTTTTTAAAACCATGCACATGTGTTACTCATTCAAAATTTAAAACTAAAATTTGTTTGTAAAAATGTCCAGGCTGAGTATGGTGGCTCCTGTCTATAATCCCAGCACTTTGGGAGGCTGAGGCAGGAGGATCATTTGAGCCCAGGAGTGGGAGATCAGCCTGAGCAATGTAGTGAGACCACCGTCTATACAAAAAGTTTAAAAATTAGCCAGGCATGGTGGTGCACACCTGTAGTCCCAGCTACTTGGGAGGTGGAAGCAGGAGAATCATTTGAACCCAACCTGGAGGTGGAGGTTGCAGTGAGCCGAGATTGCGCCACTGCACTCCAGCCTGGGCGATAGAGTGAGACCCTGTCTCAATAAACTACATAAATAGGTTGGGCACGGTGGCTCACACCTGTAATCCCAGCACTTTGGGAGGCCGAGGCAGATGAATCATCTGAGGTCAGGAGTTTGAGACCAGCCTGGCCAACATGGTGAAACCTAGTCTCTACTAAAAATACAAAAATTAGCCGGGCGAGGTAATGGGCGTCTGTAATCCCACGTACCTGGGAGGCTAAGGCAGGAGAATAGCTTGAACCCAAGAGGCAGAGCTTGCAGTGAGCCGAGATTGTGCCACTGCACTCCAGCCTGGGCCACAGAGTGAGCCTCCATCTCAAAAATAAAAATAAAAATTAGCTGGGCATGGTGGTGTGTATCTGTAGTCTCAGCTACTCGGGAGGCTGCGGCAGGAGAATCGCTTGAATCCTGGAGGTGCAGGTTGCAGTGAGCCGAGATTGCAACCACTGCACTCCAGCCTGGGTGGCAGAATGAGACCCTGACTCAAAAACTAAGTAAATAAAAATAAATTTTAAAAATTCCTAAGAGGCTGGTGTAGAAAGGGGAATGGAAGCCCTTGGAACTCTGACACCACCCCGTTTAGTCAGCTCTGCTCACGATCCTCCCACGCACCTAAGGCTTGTACGTGCCTGATCAGGGCCTTCACCTGAGATGGGGCTCACCTGGAGGCCTTGCCCACGGGGAAAATGAGGCTGCGGGAAGGGGAGATCTGGCCGTTGTGTTCCGCTACCGGCCACCAGGGGTCGCCCCAGCCAGCAGATCCGGTTGCTGCCTCCTGAGGGCTGAGAGTTTGAGAGTCGGACAGGGTGGGTCTGAGACCCCCCTCCCTCGGCCCTGGCGTCAATCCAGAAGCCAGCAGGAAACGGTTCCTCCTTCTGGAGTCCGCCAGAGCTGGAGGCCTGGAGACTGGCCTCGCCCCAATCGGGACCCCAGGGATGCAAGACCCCCTCACCATGAGGCTGTGGGGTCCAAGAATAGGCCCATGTGGGGCCGGGCACAGGGCCGTCCAAGGCAACTAAGACATCGTCACCAATTATGCATTTGTTTATTTATTTATACTGCTGGCTCCATCCCGACCATACCCGAGGGACCCCTGAAAATCAGTTCTGAGACGGGCACAGTGGCTCACACCTGTAATCCCAACACTTCGGGAGGCCAAGGCCTGCAAATCACTTGAGATCAGGAGTTTGAGACCAGCCTGGCCAACATGGTGAAACCCTGTCTCTACTAAAAATACAAAAAGTAACTGAGTGTGGTGGTGGGTGTCTGTAATCCCAGCTACTCAGGAGGCTGAGGCACGAGAATCACTTGAACCCAGAGGCAGAGGTTGTAGTGAGCCGCGATTGCACCATTGCACTCCAGCCTGGGAGACAGAGCGAGATTCCATCTTAAAAAAAAAAGAAAAAGAAAAAGAAAATCAGTTCTGAGGATGGAGGCGATAGGGAGCCACAGCAGATGTGTTAGTGGGAAGGGCACAGGCAGAAGTGGTGTCAAAGAATGTTAGGAAGACAGACTTTGAGGCTGGAGGTTTGGAACCCCAGGGAAGTCATAAGGCAGAGAGTTGGTGAATATTCCTGGTGACAAGGAGAGAGGAGGATAGGCCCAGTCCTTGGGCTGCACTGAGCCTCCCCAGATGCCCAGGGAGGCCAACAGCACTTCTCAGTGAGACTTGCCTCCCTGCAGACAGAGCCAGCCCCTGAGCTGTCTTTGTCCTGTCTCCCTGCCTCCACCTGTCTAACGATCTCTCTTGGACACTGTTGGTCATCTCTCTACCTCTCTCTCTTTTTTTTTTTTTTTTTTTTTGAGACGGGGTTTCATTTTTTTTGCCCAGGCTGGAATGCAATGATGCGATCTCAGCTCACTGCAACCTCCACCACCCGAGTTCAAGCGATTCTTCTGCCTCAGCCTCCCGAGTAACTGGGATTACAGGTGCCTGCCACCACACCTGGTGAATTTTGTTTTTGTTTTGTGTTGTTTTGTTTGTTTGTTTTTAAGTAGAGACAGGGTTTCACCATGTTGGCCAGGCTGCTCTCAAACTTGTGACCTCAGGTGATCCACCTGCCTCGACCTCCCAAAGTGCTGGGTTATAGGCATGAGCCACAGCGCCCGGCCTCTGCTGGTCATCTCCCAAAGTGTCTTTCTGTCACTGGTTATCTCTGTCTGTCTACTCCTGTCTCCAGGGCACCATCCTGGGTAACCCCTATCTGTGGCCACACTGGAGCTCCCCTCCCATAGCTGGAGGTACAGAGGTAGAGGACAAAAATGGAAAGCCTATATATAGTAGCATTGCAGGAGGGGACGTGAGCCAACTGCAACCTGATCTTTGCAGCCCCCAAA